CGGCGGGCCAGCAACTGGTGGTCAACCATGTCGAACGCCGCCGACAGGTCCAATAACACCAGTGCCGCCCCGCCGCCCCGATCCAGATGCCTACAGAGGTCGTCAGTCAGCATGACCAGTACCCTCTCCGTCCCATGACTTTTGAGACCTGGGTTTGAATCTTGCTGACTGGCAGCGAATTGGAGCCCCCAAAACCAGGGGAACCCCCACCGGGACTTGGGGGATGTCAACCCTACTGATGCCCTCACATCGATTCTCCATTATGGACTATAGGGCCCATTGACTATAATGGTTTCCATAGGCTACAATGGAGCCAGAAAAATAATGCTTTTTGTTTTTTTTGCACACCCCTATTATGCTTTTCAGTATGATTTGTAAGCTGCCTTGAGTCACAGGGGAAAGTGGGATATAAATATTTGAATAAATAAGTAGTTTGGGCAGGTTGATAACATTTAAGCAGCTTCCTGTTTGTTAAGTTAGGCAGGGTTCTGACAGTGATTGTTCCTGCTCTGTTATACTTGACTTGTAATGATGGTTGTCATATTTTACTTAAAAATACAAAGTACACTGCAAGAGTCCCCCCTCCCCTCAAGTGCTGGTATGTTTTCTAAGGCTCAGCACAGGGTGACGGTCCGAGGCCAGGGCTACCAATATAGTGGATTGGGGTGGGTAGACCTGGTCTCCAGGTGCCAGGTTTACCAATATAGTGGAAAGGGGTGGGTAGACCTGTTCTCTGGAGGCCAGATCTACCAGTATAGTGGAAAGAAGCAGGTAGACCTGTTTTCCAGAGGCCAGGTCTACCAATATAGTGGAAAGGGGTGGGTAGATCTGTTCTCTGGAGGACAAGTTACCAATGTAGTGGACTGAGGTGGATAGACCTGTTCTCCGGAGGATAGGTCTAACCAATATAGTGGAAAGGGTGGGTGAAATTTGACTTGATTTTGTTTCCTCTTATAATGTTTAAATTATACTTAAAATATAGTTTAAATATAATTTTTTTAAATTCTGAGATTTTTACCACATGTGGGGCAGTCCCCACGTATGCACAAAAATCCTAAATGTTGAAAAAAAATCGGGGGGATGTTTAAATCCCCCCGAAACTCACAGAGCGTCCCCTGCGCATGCGCAGGGAACGCTCTGCGAAGGCCGCCGCCGCCGCTTGGGAGGGAAGCGGTGAGTGGCGAGCAGGGAGGGGGGGCCAGAGCGGCGAGGCTTGCGAAAACTCCAAGCCACAGCGGGAAAAGAGCCGGCAGAGGAAGGGTGGGCTCTGCTTTGCCCGCGCCTCAAGTGACTCCGGCGGGCCTCCTGACCGGGGAGCTGCTGCAGCGCCTACTGCTATCGGCACATGGCCCAGCCTGGAGCTTTCTGCGAGCCCCAGAACGTGCTGCTGGCCAAGATCATGATGGCCGGGGAGCCCGATGTGGGCAAAACCGCCATCCTGAGGTGATACACGCAGACCTCGCAGTTGCAGCCCGCTTCCTTGATCACCACCGTCGGTAAGTCAGAAGAGCTCCACCTCCCCTCCCCGTCTCATCTCTGCCCGGTGATGCCTTTCCCGCCAGCAGCCCCGCTCACGGACACCTTCGTCTCTGACGCTGCTTCTTCTCCCCACCAGCTTTGATTTAAAAGCAGCTATTTCCGTGTGAGCTCCACATAAGAAATCGGGCAGAGCATAATGTCAGCACTTAGGGAGGTGGGGGGGGAAGAGAGAGAACGGGGGGAGAGAGAGAGAGAGACTGGGGGGAAGAGAGAGAGCGGGGGAGAGAGAGAGACAGGGGGGAGAGAGAGAACGGGGGGAGAGAGAGACACAGGGGGGGAAGAGAGAGAAGGGGGGAGAGAGAGGGACTGGGGGGGCGGCGAGCCGGGTGGTGGTAGTTGAGGGTGGTGGTGGAGGAGACGGGGGAACCAATGGGATGGGGGGGAAGCTTACCTGCTTCTTCCTCCTCCCCTGCTCTGTGTAGAGCTCCCCCGCTCCTCCCCTCCGCGATTTTCGCGGGTCCCCTTTCTTGTCTAAACTAATTTATGCAATAGTGAAATGTATACTCGCTCACAACTTTAATGCTACTAGCTTTTTCCACTCATGAGGTGGATTTTCTGCTCACAACACTGTGGAGCTTAGAGGGAACATTGGTTGTAACTGTGCCATTTTAAAAAGGATTTTCTAACACTGTGCCAGAAGATACTCCTTATTAGGTAGATTTGTTGTATAGATTTTAGTCTAATGGCGCAAAGTGTCTGAATTTTGTAGAGAATCGAACCTTGGTCTTCCTACATGGCTTATCTGACAGAGCTGCCATCACAGCTCCATAATTTTAACCTGCCCTTCCTCTCTCCAGCACAGCTGTTGTGTTCTATGTGCAGAAGGGGTATCCTGTCAAAGTGATAAAGGCTTCAGATGTGGCACAGAGGCTCCGTTTGCAGCTCTTGAAAGAGAAGCCAGACTTCCTGCTTTTTAAGGTGCTTCGCATTGACACGGCTGGTATGTCTTTGTGCTACTTCCAATGCTCTGTGTTAGTACTAACATAGCAAAACAACACATATTTTTGTGTGTCTTTAGTTGTTAGGTGTGCATGTGTGTCTATTTACTCTTGCAATTCATGGTTTGTGGTGATATTCCTAAGTTTTACTGTTTAATAGTATGGTTTTGAGCAGCACAAGAAGGAGCTGGAAAATCATGTGTGCCAAATGTTACAATCAATTAAAGTTTATTGCAGGCCATTGGCAGTGGGATTGTTGTCACCATTCTACCCTGGATGTTGAATTACAGACTAGCCTACTTAAAATTAAACACATCTAGTACATCTCTAGTTCTACCCAGTCAAAAACAACGAGTCTAGTTAGTTTATAATAATAAAGAAATAGTTCTGTAGCACAGTGGTAGAGCACACATTTTTCAGACTAACAACAGGAAAGATCTTGGGTACCAGATTGGGGGAAAGGCTCAGTTTCCTGGAGAGCCAGTGCCTGCCAGAGTAGACAGAATTAGCCTAGACAAACCAATGATCTGACTTGGTTATTAAGGTAGCTGTTTATGGATGAATAAATTAAGGATTTAAGATGAGAAAGTAGCTTATATTTAGGCTTTCTATGAATTACTCATTGAAGTATCTACTAGGGGGTGTCCCCATAGGATATAATGAAGAAGGGATTTAAATTTTAAATGCTTGCTGAGTTAATTTGCCAAGTTGTGCTGCCACCGCGAACTCAGCAAGCATTTAAAGCTTAAATCCCTTCTGAGTTCACTTATGGTGATGCAACTCGGCGAGTGAACTCAGAAGTCATTTAAAGGGACCATGGTCCCTTTACTCGAGTAAAAGCCGAATAATATTGGCTTTTATTCATGTGTGGCTATTTTGGTAGCCGAATACCAATAAGGTATTTTTTGGATAATTATTCGACTAGATATATACTGAGCACGCACCCTAGTATCTACATCATATTGCTAAGGTTTACCTTGGCCTTTAGTTTGCAGGTGCAAAAGCAGAATAAAAAGGTAAAGGTAAAGGTTTCCCTTTCTCGAAAGCCAGTCGAATCCGACTCTAAGGTTGCGGTGCTCATCTCCATTTTCAAGCAAAAGAGCATGACTAAACACCAAGGCTGTTGTCTAAATTCCAAAAACCAATGCAATATTTACAGTTTCATGTTTTGCTATTATAGCTTGCCTTCTAAAATGCTCTGGACACGGACATTGTGACCCCATCACTAAGCGTTGCATTTGCTATCAACTATGGATGGAAAATTTGATACAGTGGTACCTGAATGATGGAGAGAGTAATTGTGGTGAGTTAGTAGGGGATGGATGAAGTCTTCAGGGAATGGATGTGGAACAGAGCAGATCTGTAGATGTGCTGTCTTGGATGTACATGAACTAATATAGCCTATTGCTATTTCAAAACGTTTGATTTCCCCTAGAATGGAGTATACTCTATGTAATGGTGTCTGCTTTCATTTTGATGGTGCTGATGGTGGGTTCAGTCTGGATCTGCATCTGTTGCTGCAAAAGGTAATGATACTAACCTCAAGGATACTACGCACACAGCCATCCTCATGGATACTACACACACAGTGTAGTGTAGTGGTTAGCGTGCCACTTGACATCTGTGGGGATTAACTGCTTCCTGCTGCCATCACACACTCCCATAAGTAAACCAGACAGATTGGGGTAGAAGAGGGGAGGAGGAATTTTTGGAGGCTCTGATAAAATAGGATTTTGGATGATTCAATCTTTAACACAAGGCAAGTTTGGGGGGTTTACCTATCTGTTCTTTGGATCGCTCATAAGAAAACAAATCCAAGAACAAAACTGGACATTTGAGTTGCCAGTTGTGCACGGGCAACTATTGAAATTGCTTTTTTTTAAATTTCACAGCAGAAAGAGGACCAAAATAAGGAAGAAAACAAAATACACAATTTTGGATAACATTGATGACCAGGAGAGAATGGAGCTTAGGCCCAAATATGGTATTACTTTTTTTATTCTTCCAAGCTCAGTGGCTATAATCAAGGACCTATTTATAAGTCATATGTGTATGGGTTTTGTTTTGTATTTTGTAATTAATATGTGATTTCCCTTTGCGCCTATCTGGTGACTTAATGCTTGAAAGGAGAACAGGATCCAATTGAGCTGTCAGCAAAGGTTATTGCCATGATAAACCACTTAGCTCCTATCGTGCTATAGAGCCTCTTGCATTTCCTCTAGGGAACAAAACCATTTAAATGTTATGTTTCAGTTCCATTTTGGATTCTGCTGTGACTGAAATTATTCTGATTTGGCCAGTAAAATCTCTGTCACCATTTGAACCACCACACCCCTGGACCAAGTTCGGTTCTGGTTCACATGGAAAAACGTGAATATCATTTGCACTGTAATATTGATTTCCTATGCAGAATGGAGCAAGTTAACAGGGTCTAGCTTGACATAACCGTCACTACTCTGCCGTTTGCCCTGATCCACTTATACACTTACATTAATGGCTTGAGCCTGCTGCATCATGCAGGAGGCTTGAGGAGTTGATGTTTCTTGGCAGCTGGTCTTCCTTGGCAGTAGGCTCACATTGTAAGGAGGCAGGCTCTCTCCTTTTCCTCTCTTGCTGCCTTGTAAACGACAGCTGACTGGTTTCAAAACTGCCCTTGTCTGATGGGCTAGTGACCAGTGTTCCCTCTAAGCTGAGTTGTGTGAGCTAGCTCAGTTTTTTAGCCTCCAGCTCACATTTTTTTTTTAGCTCAGGGAGGAGGGCTCCAGAGCAAACTAATTTATGCATTAGCGAAATTGCTCGCTCACAACTTTAATGCCAGTAGCTCACAAAGTAGAATATTTGCTCACAAGACTCCACAGCTTAGAGGGAGCATTGCTAGCGACTAGCAAAATAGGTCAGTCCTGGGCAATATTTCAGGAGAAGTGTGTTTCTCTTTAAAGAAGAGCAGAGTTTTGTGGCAGATCAAAGCGCTGTGACACTTTGGGATTTATGATGGTGGACAAGACTGTCTGAACTTGATGTTGTGAATGACATGTTGCTAAATCAAACAGTGAACAGGTCTTCCAAAGCATCTTTTGCCAATCTTCTCATCCCAGGTATAAAACACAGAAGTACCGAACACAATTCCAGCCTGATGGTGTCTGAATCTGAATTTGACAGTGACCAGGACACCATCTTCAGCAGAGAGAACCCGAGGAATCTCAAGAACGGTTCCCTTAAAAATGGCGTCTCCTTCAGCTACAGCTCAAGGACAGATAAATAACCATGCAATCAAAAGGACATGTTGACTGAACCGGCTAAGGATGTGCTCATCCTCCCTTTGTATTTTCCTAAAATGCTACAAGTGGTTGATGGAGCAATAAACTTCCTGAATGGAAGAAGGGGAAATGGAATCAAGGGACATGCATGTTTGCTGAAAGAATAAAGAGAAAAGCACTTTAACTCGCCACATGGGTTATGTGGAATGGTTTTAAGGCCTAAACGACTGCCAATGGTATTCATGTGATATCTCATGGACAGCTTACCACTCAAGTCCTAGCCAAGACTGTTGCATTATGAGGGTCACATATGAAAGTTAGCTTATTTCCCAAAGCAAGCTGTGACCATGTATCTATCTGAAATCACTTTAAACTCAGTATGCAAATTAACCTAAATTATTAAAAGCAATGTGCAGCTAACAGCCTCAGTTGTCTTCATAATTCCATTTTTTATTTATTCCTCTTTCCATTTTTTGAAATATATACCACATTTAGTAATGGCTTCTATTAAAGAGGAACAGGGATGCTTAACTTAGTTGATTTTTAAAAAATGAGTCTTAACTAGACATTTGAAAGATACGTGTCGGGGAGGGTGTGTCTGCTTGTGTTTGAGACTGTTTATGCTGCTGCTGTCCGCTGCTTTTGTGCGGCATTGCAGTTCAAACCATTTTTATATCTACATAACCCTAACAGAGCCCTCCTCTAGCTTGTTCAAACATTCTGGACCATTATACAAGGGCTACCGACTCCTATGTGTGAGAACCAGCTTTTTTCAGATCCATCCATACCTCTTTGCTACACTGAGGTTCTCTTTACACAAGCTTTCTTATATTTCTCCAAATCAGTCTCCAATGTGTTGGAAGGAATGCCAGCATATTGGAGACTTTGCACATTGCTGGTGGCAGTGCACTAAAATTAAAAAAAAATCGGTCAGAGGTGCTGAAGGTAATCCAAAAGGTCACCTCAATACAAATTCCGTTGACACCAGAGGTTTTATTTTTAAACACTTGGCCAAAAGATCTGTCATCTAGACCACATAACGCTACGGTGGAAGTCATGTTGGATGCAGCAAAAACTGTGATTGCATTGTACTGGAAGGATAATAAAGCACCCAGTATTGAGGTGTGGTTTAAGAAATTATGGCGCCATTACTTAATGGATGCAGTCACAAATAAACTAAATTTCCTGTCTCAGAAGCGGACTCTAACAATATTCACAGACAAATGGTACCCAGTGCTTGACTATTTGTCTCAACAACAATTTATCTCTTCCGAATGGACCCAATACCACAAATGGATTTAAAGTCAAAATGTTTGTACTACTGATTAGGAATTCTTTTCCTTTCTGTTCCTTTTTGCTTTATTTGTTTATTTTTGTTCTAGTTTAATATATATATAAAAGGGGGGGGAATGCTTATGTTACATTGGACAGATTGAAAACATCCCCGAAAAATGAAAACATGTATTGTATGTACAAGAGCTGTAATGATATAGCTTACACATTGCGTTATATTCACTTTTAAGCAGTTATGTAACCATTTGTTGTATCAATGTTATCACTATTTACAAAAACCAATAAAAATATAAATATAAATTTAAAAAATGAAAGTCACTGTAAGACTGGGTGGGGAGATGGGATTTCTTTCCCCTATGAGTCTCCAGTTTGTTTCTTTTACATTTACATCCACTAAGGCCTGAACAACATTAGTGTTCAATGTTGCCTCTAGGTTTCCATGACCTTTGACTCATAGTCACATGTCGGCAGCAAGGGAACTCATTATTTGGATTGGGACCAGGGCACAAGGGAAAAAAAGGTCTTGAGCCTTCCTCCCTGCCATTTTTCCAACCCAAAACGGCTTGGGTGTGTGTGGGCTGTTTGCCCGGCCAGAGGGTTGCACATGTAGTCCATCATGTTTAATTCAGGCCAAAGTAAATCCAATGTGTGAATTGGTAGCGGCACTTTTCACATTACTGTGAAAGTAGGAAGGTGGAATTAGATATGACGGGGTCAGCTATATTTATTCATATGTCTGCCCCATAAAAAGTGTCAAGGGAGCATATCTTTCTTGGTCACCTACCTAAGGTCCATCAACCAAGACACTTTTCTAGCTCCTATATAGGAAGTGAACTGGATCAGAAGTATGGGGGAAGGGATTGTCCACACGCATTGCATTTTCTGTTATTAAAAAGCTTAAATTCCTGATCAGAAGGAAGTCAAAGAGGTATGAGACTTATAAGCTGGATCTTGACTCCAGTTCTAAGTCTATACCTTGGTGGTGGTGGGGAGTTGATCTCCCCATTAGTGAGGTAGAGCAACATAGGGTCAAACTTAGAAGAACAACCCACAACTAACTTTACCAAAGAGTAGGTTGTAGTTGAATGATTGCTGACGGGTTTCAATGAGAAAGTTGATTACAAATGAAATGTTTAAGATACGGTTGATGAATATTAAGCACCATGGCTTCACTTATATTCATCAAGTGTGCCCATAAAGCATCCTTGTACAAGAACCAGTTTGTGAGTGATACACATGTACTTCTTTCCCTCTTGGGATGCAGCCTGAACAATAATCTGTACAACATCTGTAAAAGGCACGCTGTGCTGATACGTCTTGTGCATAGGACAATAGATTGAATGGAATACTAAAGTGCATTGCAATGACTTTGAACTGCTGTTCAATGTGTCATCTTTAAAGTAAAACAATTACAGTGTTCTCTAGATAAAGTAACCAAAGATACATGTATGTAAGGTAACTAATTTTTGAAGTTTACTTCAGTATTGGCTATTTTGGCTTTAGATCTGCTAAAATCTTCTATGTGATATGAATGCTTCCATTTACCTTCACCAGTTTGTGCATAAGTGAAGTTCATGCAAACCTAATAGCTTTAACTGAAAAATAAGCTTACAGAACACAATGAGTTAACTGTTGAATAAATGCAGATGTCCAGACGTCAAAGAAAGTTAGATATTTATTGTATTCTTTGTTATATTCTATATATTTATAATGCATACTAAACATTGCTGGGGGAAAAAACATGTCATAAGAATTCAAGTAGCTCCTTCAGCTAAGGAATCACAGTGTACAACACTCAAATAGTGATACATTTTTATGTAGACGTACACATAAAAATATATTAAAACTATGCCGTTCCATCCATAAAAAACTTTTAGTCAAAACGAATGCCTAGAATTCACTTTTATTACACACGGTCAACAATTTGTGCTTCTCACAGATATTTAACTGCATTCTTCCAAAAAAAGTTTATTGACAAAATATGAGCATATTCTATCCATGTTTTTTTAAAACTGTATTTTTTACATGTCAAAACTTAATCAACTGCCACAAAGGGGAATTTGAGGTTCACTGACACCACATACATGCATGGCAAAAGTGAATTATCACCTGGCCATCTGAATTTACCTTCAAATGTTGGTTTGAAATAGATTTTTTTCCAGCAGAACTTGTGTTTGAGACCATGGGGCCCCAAATGCAAGCATTCTGAACAAAAATGGTATTTTGCAGCTTCCTGCACTCATAAGAAAGCAGTTTATTTTGTTGCTATGTCAGCAACTCTTCTGTCTCCCTTAAGAGTTAAGAACTGCTCTGAATACTGGCAGGAAATAACATCAACAGCCCCATTGACTTGGATATACTCTAATAATACAGCATCTGGATGACAAAGGTAGCCCATGTTTATTTTCAACTACGTGAGTCCTTGATGGCACTATCGCAAGAACACACTGATCCACACAGCAAAGAAAGAAATGGTAAACATTCACCACTCAATCCCACTTAACATAACGAGCACCTCACATATTGTCAGCATGCTTGTTGGCACTAGGAGATCAAGCTTCAGATACATCATATCCCCCCCCCAAAGAATAACAATTAGTAAAGCATGTGGGAGACAGGGACTGTATTGAGGAGAATCAGTGAAGGCTGAGTGAAAAGAGGGGGAAGCTAACTTTCTATCTCTAGCAGAAGCAATAATAGGTCTGTTGCACAAGTTGATTTAAATAAAGGTTTTCTGAATTTAACAAGAAAAGATCCAAAGAGAGTCACAAAACTAGTTTCAGACAAGTGCTTCTGAAGAATAACTCCCCATGCCGCATTACGGATCACTTTAGAAATCCAGAAAAGTCTCAAAAGGAGACTGTGATAAATGTCTGCATTTTTTAAAAAAGGTGCAAACACCATTCATTCAGGGAATCCCATGGGTTCATCTGATGCAAAGCAAAAAGCAAAGCAAAAAAATAGAACTTCTAATGAAGTTTTGCTATGTAAATAAAATACCTGTTCAATTTAATGCATCAGTGGTAACATGCCACAGTTCTTCTAAATTCTTCCATTTGAAGAACTAACTACTAATACAAAGAGGACTTGATCACAAGAATTAGCCTAATGTGGATATTGCAGCAAGAGCTTGAACCACACCACATCTTCAATGGGATTTTAAGTATATACTGCAGTGCTACTCTTATAATCTCCAGGAAGTTTCTAACGTCCTTCCTCATCTCTTGTACTCTTCTTGTTCTTGTGAAGTTTTTGCCTTGCTGAGATTCAAGTACGTGTTCCTGGCGGCCTTCAAGATATCTCTAGAATGAGCAGCAAGATCACAGAGGGCCGAACACCTTCCAAACAGGAAATATTACTTGACAGTGAAGGGCAGTAATTACTTGACAGTTTAAGGGCAGTAATAATATTCAGTACAGTAATGCAAGAGGAAGGGGGTTTAGGGAAGCAAAAGCCCTTGTATTTTGGCATTCAAATGGAATGCCAATTTCTTCTGTGGGTACAGGTCCAAAGACCACTTGTGCATATGGGTACTCTGTGCTCACCTACATAATCATTCTCTCAACCTCCAAAGACCCCTTTTGCGCCACGTGGGGAATCTCTGGAGAATCTAGGGGAACAAACAGACATGTCTTCATTGGAAAGACACCAAGCCAAATAAACTGCAACTGAAACATCTTACAAAACAGTTGAGGCTCATATCTTTGTGCGACTGTAATAAAAACACAACATTTGGCCTCAAAGCTCAGCTAATAAACACAAATCACAGGTTTCTCCCTAAAAATGCTCTGGAACAAGAACTGTTATAAACGGGAAGATACTCTGACAGACTCTAACGTAGATTTACAAGGACATTTAGTTCCAGATATCACACAAAGATACTGATGAGATTTCCTTTGCTGTGAGCATCAAATATTCTCCCAGTAGCCTTGAGACAGGCAACCAGAAAGAAGTCTAGCACTAAAAAAAATATATTCAGATTTTGGCACTATTATTTAAGACACTGATACCTTCCTAATTGTTCCTCATATAAAGAGAAAGAAAAGCATCTCTTTGCTTCTCTGTCCCCTCCAAAACCTACCTAAATTTTAAAAAAATCCACATTCTTCATAGTTAAGATCAGTATTAGGATTGTTAATCTTCCCTGTATAATGATAAAGACAGTTCTGAAAGCAGGTCTATATTCTTATAAACCTCCAGACACAAATGCAATACCAGAATTTGCATTGTGATATACTATCATAATTGTAGATAAAAACTTATCTGCATAAACGTAATTTCCTTCACGTTCGTGGGGGAAACTCAATGTTTATGTACATCACTTGTAAATGTTCCAAAACAATTTCTAGCTGTACCTCGGTTTCATATTCATAATGGCTACTGTAAGCCTCCAAAACAAACATACTTTATTTCCAAATATTCATCGACACCATATTTTGATCCTTCTCTTCCAAGCCCAGATTGTTTTATGCCACCAAAAGGACACTCTACAGAAGACACGATTCCTTCATTAATGCCAACCATTCCAACCTCCAAGCGCTCTGCAACTCTCCAAATCTGAGCAGGGTCCCGAGAGTAGAAATAACCTGCAAGTTGGGTCATGAAATAGAACACAGTAAGACTACATTTTCTAACCAAAAGCTCTAAGAGAAAAACTTTTATTCCTCTTAAAATAATCATGAGTTAAGATCAAGCTCGGTTCAGTTCTCATGCAAGTGCTAAATCTTAAGAGCTCAAACTAGACTTCTCTTGTTACTTTGTATGGGTACCATGAAGGATATGCATACCTGCTAAGCCCACGTTGGCTGAATTTGCTATGGCAAGAGCTTCTTCCTCTGTATTAAACCTGGAAATACAGAGAGATAGTATTAACAAGGCAGAAGAAAGTGATTACTGACTTTTTTGGATACTGAAAGAAGGATTTTAGTCCAAGCAAGATGCAGTTAAAGAACTCTTCCAAAGAATGTACATACTGTTATGCATATGCTTTCCCGTGAGAAAAATTTCCATAACTTCCTGTAAATTTATCCAGTATTATGGTGACTTCACACTCACTGCTTTTAAGCATCAGTAAAATATTCATGAGTTTTAAAGTGGCACACATTTCCCACACATCTAGGGAATGTTAGTAAATCCTGAGGACTTTCTCATAAGGTCAGTAAATACTGCAGAGCAGGGTGGGAGTTGGGATGGAGGAGAGAGGAAAAACATTTGGCTTCAATACAGACACATTTTTATCCCCATTATTCCGTCAAGTGTGAAACATCATGGAAGGCTTGAGGGTGTCCTGTTCTCTCCCCACCCCAATTTCATTTTGGGAATTTTCCAGACAAGCTGTCTCTCCAAATAAAGATTTGCAGAACTTTAGTCTGCCAGGGTTGTTGTGTCCACACAGATGTTTTGCTCTACCCTGTCATTGTTTTGTTCTACCCAGGATTACTTCCATGTTTTCCCTTGTTGTTGTTGTTGTTCAGTCGCACAGTCGAGTCCGACTCTTCGCGACCCCATGGACCATCTCCCGCCAGGCCCTCCTGTCTTCCGCAGTCCTCCGAAGTTGGCTCAATTTCATGTTCGTTGCATCGATGACACTGTCTAACCATCTCATCCTTTGCCGTCCCCGTCTTCTTTGACCTTCAATCTTTCCCAGCATCAGGGTCTTCTCCAGTGAGTGCTCCCTTCTCATTTGGTGGCCAAAGTATTTGAGCTTCAGTTTCATTATCTGGCCTTCCAGGGAACAGTCAGGGTTGATTTCTTTGAGGATTGACTGATTTGTTCTTCTTGCAGTCCAAGGGACTCTCAAGAGTCTTCTCCAGCACCATAGTTCAAAAGAATCTATTCTTCGGCGCTCGGCCTTCCTTATAGTCCAGCTCTCGCAGCCATACATGACTACTGGGAATACCATTGCTTTGACCATGCGGACTTTTGTTGGCAGGGTGATGTCTCTACTTTTTATCATGCTGTTTAGGTTCGCCATCGCTTTCCTCCCAAGGAGCAGGCGTCTTTTAATTTCATGGCTGCAGTCACAGTCTGCGGTGATCTGGGATCCCAGGAACGTGAAGTCTGTCACTACTTCCACGACTTCCCCTTCTATTTGCCAAGGAGTGATGGGGCCGGATGCCATGATCTTAGTTTTTTTGATGTTGAGCTTCAAGCCCACTTTTGCGCTCTCCTCTTTTACTCTGAGCAAGAGGCTCTTTAGATCCTTTTCACTTTCAGCCATTAGAGTGGTATCATCTGCATATCTGAGGTTGTTGATCTTTTCCCCAGCAATCTTAATTCCCGCTTGTGATTCATCCAGGCCAGCATTTCGCATGATGTACTCTGCATATATATTAAATAAGCAAGGTGACAGTATACATCCTTGTCGTACTCCTTTTCCTATGCTGAACCAATCAGTTGTTCCGTATCCGGTTCTAACTGTCGCTTCTTGGCCCTTATACAGGTTTCTCAAGAGACATGTGAGGTGGTCTGGTACTCCCATCTCTTTAAGGACCTGCCATAGTTTGTTGTGATCCACACAGTCAAAGGCTTTAGCATAGTCAATGAAGCAGAAGTAGATATTTTTCTGGTACTCTCTTGCTTTCTCCATAATCCAGCGAATGTTGGCAATATGATCTCTCGTTCCTCTACCTCTTCGAAACCCAGCTTGTACTTCTGGTAGTTCTCTATCCACGTACTGTTGAAGCCTAGCTTGTAGGATCTTGAGCATGACCTTGCTAGCGTGTGATATGAGTGCAATTGTGCGATAGTTTGAACATTCCTTGGCGTTGCCCTTCTTTGGGATTGGAATGTATACTGATCTTTTCCAATCCTGTGGCCACTGTTGCGTTTTCCAAATTTGCTGGCAAATGGAGTGCAGCACTTTAACAGCATCATCTTCTAAGACTTTGAATAGCTCAGCTGGAATACCATCACCTCCACTAGCTTTGTTGTTAGTAATGCTTTCTAAGGCCCATTTAACTTCACATTCCAGGATGTCTGGCTCGAGGTCAGTGATTATACCGTCGTGGTTGTCAAGGACATCGAGGTCTTTCTTGTATAGTTCTTCTGTGTATTCTTGCCATCTTTTCCTAATCTCTTCTGCTTCTGTTAGGTCCCTACCGTTTTTGTCCTTTATCATGGCCAGCTTTGCATGGAACGCTCCCTTGATTTCTCCAATTTTCTTGAAGAGATCTCTAGTCCTTCCCATTCTATTGTTTTCTTCTATTACTTTGCACTGTTCATTCAGGAAGGCCTCCTTATCTCTCCTTGCTGTTCTCTGGAAATCTGCGTTCAGTTGGGTAAATCTTTCCTTTTCGCCTTTGCCTTTCGCTTTCCTTCTTTCCTCTGCTATTTGTAAAGCCTCATCAGAAAGCCATTTTGCTTTCTTGCATTTCTTTTTCTTTGGTATGGTGGTGATTGCTGCCTCCTGTACAATGTCACGAACCTCCGTCCATAGTTCTTCAGGCACTCTATCTATCAAATCCAGACCCTTGAATCTATTCTTCACCTCTACTGTATATTCATCAGGGATGTGATCTAGGTCAAACCTGAATGGCCTCATGGTTTTCCCGATTTTCTTCAGTTTAAGTCTGAATTTTGCAATGAGTAGCTCATGATCTGAACCACAGTCAGCTCCAGGTCTTGTTTTTACTGACTGGATAGAGCTTCTCCATCTTTGACTGCAAATTATATAGTCAATCTGATTTCGGTGTTGCCCATCTGGTGATGTCCATGTGTAGAGTCGCCTCTTAGGTTGTTGGAAAAGGGTGTTCGCTATGACCAGTGTGTTCTCTTGACAAAACTCTGTTAACCTTTGCCCTGCTTCATTTTGCTTTCCAAGGCCAAACTTGTCTGTTATTCCAGTTACCTTTTGACTTCCTACTTTAGATTCCAGTCCCCTATGATGATTGAGGACATCATTTTTTGGTGTTAGTTCTAGGAGGTGTTGTAGGTCTTCATAGAACCGGTCCACTTCAGCCTCTTCTGCATCAGTGGTTGGGGCATAGACTTGGATTACTGTGATGTTGAATGGTTTGCCTTGGAATCGGACAGAAATCATTCTGTCATTTTTGAGATTGTATCCCAGTACTGCCTTTTGCACTCTCTTGTTGACTATAAAGGCCACACCATTTTTTCTACGAAATTCCTGGCCACAGTAGTAGATATAATGGTCTTTTGAGTTAAATTCGCCCATTCCTGTCCACTTTAGTTCACTGATTCCTAGGATATCGATGTTTAGTCTTGCCATCTCATTTTTGACCACGTCAAGCTTACCTTGATTCATAGATCTTACATTCCAGGTTCCTATGTAGTATTGTTCTTTGCAGCATCGGACTTTCCTTTCACCATCAGACACATCCACAACTGAGCGTCCTTTCGGCTTTGGCCCAGCCGCTTCACTTTTTCTGGGGTTACTTGTACTTGTCCTCTGCTCTTCCTCAGTAGCATATTGGACACCTTCCGACCTGAGGGGCTCATCTTCCGGCGTCATATCTTTTAGCCTTTTGATACTGTCCATGGGGTTTTCTTGGCAAAGATACTGGAGTGGGTTGCCATTTCCTTCTCCAGGTGGATCACGCTTGGTCTGAGTTCTCTGCTGTGGCCTGTCCGTCTTGGGTGGCCCTTCACGGCATAGCCCACAGCTTCATTGAACTGCGCAAGCCCCCTCGCCATGACAAGGCAGTGATTTGCAGAACTTTAGTCCGCCAGGGTTGTTGTGTCCACACAGATGTTTTGCTCTACCCTGTCATTGTTTTGTTCTACCCAGGATTACTTCCATGTTTTCCCTTGCTTTGCTGCAATTTTTCCCAAACCTGATTTGGCATAATCTTTTGGAAAGATCACAGCAAAACCAGGGTGGCTGCTGTGTGGACAGGAAAGTCTGAATCCTTCCTGGTTCTGTCTACCATAGCAATCTATTGCCATGAGCTAATAGTTTCCAGTATTCATTTTTTAAAAAACAAAATATCTAACCTTTTTTATGGCAGAGTTAAAGGGAAAGGTTCATGATGCACATTTCCCCTTATAACTCCATAACCCAGACTTCCTGTTCCGGTAAGGCGCGCGATGGGTGGATCCTCGGGCTGCTCCGAGACCCCCGACCCCTTTTCGCTCCTTTTGGAGCCCCCCGGACTGGGGGAGCTCCGTCGAACTTCTTGTAGAGAGGTCCGATAGCAGGGGGCTTAGTTTTGGCCCCTCCCGCACCTGGAAAATGCGGTGGGGTGTCTGTTACCGCCCTGGCGCAGGAGCGTCTTGTGGCAGATCATGGACGCCATGATCTACTAGCAGCGACCATCCGGCTTGTTTTTAAAGATTTTTGGATTTACAACTTATGTATACAGCACAACGCAAGGAAGCTACTTATCCACGTATGAACAAGGAAAAAGTGTCAAATATGTATTTTAATGCCCCCAGCAAATATTCTCAAGTATAAGAAAGCGGCCTGGAAGCAACTGGAAACGAGATCTGAAGTGAAATGGCAGGGGTAAGAGAAATTTTTGTCACGTTTGAACTGCTATTGTTTGTTGGAAGCAATATTTGGTGAACAGCTGAATTATAATCAAGGCAATAAATGGTGAAAAATGGGAGTGGCAAAATGGAGCTGAGTGAAGGTGATGAAGAGCTAGATCCAGAAACAAAAATTGAAACACTTACTATGGAACAATTTAGAAATTTTTTGATAAAAGAAATTACTCAAGCTGTTAAAGACGCTTGTATTAATGTGGTCGAAAATTATCAAAGAGCAAATCAAGATATAAGCAAAAATGAAAACCAAATTCAAAATATGCAGAGTCCTGCGGAGGAAAGGGATGGTTGTTGGGAAAGAACGAGTGAGGTGTTTGAAAACCAGCCAGCACTCATGGA